GTGGTTCCTAATTTTTACATATGCCTGATTTATGTTTTTACTCCACTGTCTAACCAAATTGATTTTTAATGAATGGTTTTTTTTTCCAACATTCTTGCTTCCAACAAGGCTGCAAGCAACCACTATTAGAGTTGGAAGTTACTGTAAAAGAAAATATTAAGTTTATAAAGCAAGATGGCGATTAAAAGACGACTTAAAAGATTGAAAATTTTATGAATCAGGAAAAGAACTGGTGTTCGAGGAAAAAAACTAGAGAAATAAGTGTTTTTGGAACAGTCACAGAAAAAAGATGAGACTTAATTGAATGACAAGTACAACAAGAATGAATGTTACTAGATGGCACAAGAGATGCTAGCTCTTTAGAGCAGTGCCTGCTATAGTATTTGTAGAAAAGAGAATGGAAAGCAATAATACAACAATGTGATAAGGTTAGAGGTTGGCTGCAAATGCAAGTTCAATTATGTTTACCATGTGTTTTGGCACATTGTATGAAAGTAAAAAGACATCATTCAATGATCCTCTTTAGATATGAAAACAGTATTCAAAACATATAAAGATAAAGAATAGAATCCGAAGTAAGAAAGTGGAGAGCATAATAAAGAGATGCAACTTCAGCAGATGCTAGTTTTGTAATTGATTTGATTGATGGTTTCAAAGAAAGATCAGAAGTAAGAATTAATTCCAGAAAATGAAGGGTAGATGACTCATTGAGTACATTAACATTCATAAATAAGGAAGATCTAAATTATTGCAATAAAAATTAGCTGAAAAAATTGGGTTTTATTTGAATTCACCCATGTGAGACCCATGCTGTAGCAGAGGTGAGATCCTTTTCAAGCTCAAATGCCCTCTCTAAATGATCAGGCTGGAAAATAAGACTCTAATAAGCACTTGTTAAATAGTTTTGAAAGTATAGACGATCCAATAGTTTTGAAAGTATAGACGCTCCAGAGAGCATTTTTAGAAGACTATAACAAGTTATAGTCTTGCATAGAAATGATATTGTCCTTACCACAAGCTGTAGAATAGTCTAAGCAAGAAATTACTTTAGATACAGAAGCTGGAGTGATACAAAGGTCAGGCAATGGGTTAACCTGTTTGTCTGCTATATCAGGTAGAAGGCAACTAGTGGAATCAAGAGATGATATTGATGAAATGTTCTTAGCGAACAATTCAGCTTTGTCTTAAGGTGAGGTGACAAAATCTGAGCCATACAAGAGAGGTAGAATAACAAATTTTCCGTTTTTACTGATACTGTTAAAGACTCTCCAAAAGTCACAAGAGCCTAATTTTTGAGATGAAATACAAGATTTTATCACCTGAGAATGGCAGGTTTTAGCCTTAGACAAAACCTTTCTACAATGGTTTCTAGCAATAGTACACAGACATCTGTTTTCTAAAGAATTGCTTTGCTAATAGATATGGAAGTAATGGTTTTGACTGGCAATTGAGGCAGCGCAATGTGAAGAAAACCATGGAGAAGAATAAGGCTTGACTTGGAATGGTCGAGAGGGTATAAAAGATTTCATGCCAGCCTGAATTTAAGAAGTTATGTAAAGGAAGACAAAAGATTTCTACCCAAGGGCTATCACAAAAAAAATCACGGAAAGAGTCCCAGTCAGCATTAAGGAGTTACAATGATAGGAAGATCCTGATGATGAAAAAGAATGATATAATAGTTTTAGAGAGATCAAACCGTGATCAGAAGCATTTTCGGGTGAATGTGGAGGAACTGAGCACTGACTAAGATCAGAAACAAGACATAAGTCAAGTAGAGAAGTCAGATGATTTGGGTTGTCAGGAAAGCAAGTTGGAAAGTTAACTATTTTATTTAGAGATTGTTAGAGATTGAAAAAAGCTATTTGATAAGAGATCGTTGTGGGTCTTAATGCCTGCAGAGTCACTGACACTAGAGCCAAACCATCAATGTGATGAGCATTACCATTAAGTCGTCAACAACAACAATATTGGCTGATAGATAGAGAGAGAAGGCTTGGTCAATTCATCTAGAAATAACATCGAAAAGAGTGCAGTCTTGAAATGAAGGAGAGCAATATAGAACAAAGAGAAAAGTGATAGTGAAGTAATGCTAAACAAAAGCATATATAAGAATAGTCAGTGGATTCAAATCTAGATTCCCGACAAATGGGTGAATTCTTACAAATGTAAATGCCCAGGCCATGCATGTAACTATTGGAGTCTTTACGAAAAAGAAAAATAATCATTACCACTAAGATCATAAGATGAGACAGCTGAAATCAAATTAGTCTCACAAAGAGCAAGTAGGTCTGGTGAACTTTGCAAGAGATAAGACTCAACAGAAGAGAAGTAACTTTGAAGACCACAAATATTAGTAAATGATAGGTTTAGAAAACTAGTGATGACAATGGTTTTTTGTGTTTTATAGTTTTTCGTACTTTAGTCATTTTTAAATTTGTTTAAGAACTTGGCTTAAAACATAGATAGAACTTATTACACTATTTAATAGCCTAAGCAATTGCCTCATTACTATTAATAAACCCATAGTCATAACAAAGGGCTCCAAATGTTGCCTCAACAATGCATACCAAAAATACGAACTGGGACACCATCCATGCGCAACATAGGACTGCTAATAATTTGATATTTTACAGCTGTTGATGGAATCAGCCTCTCTGAGAGCTACTACAGAGTTTGGGAAACCTGACTACCAGCCAGCCTCAGAACCATAAAACTGAGTTTCAGAGCTGTACCCTCATTAAGAGATAATAAAATGAGTTGTCTAGTCATAAAAACAGAGACACAAGCAAAGCCCATGCATTGAGCCAAGAAGATCCAGCATTCAACATCCTAAACAGGAAACAATGTATTATAAATATGTATCTGCCAGCCTAATAGATGGAGAAGGGGTGCAAGGTTGGTTAACAGATAGAATCAGTTTACCTCTTAAGTCTTTGCCTAAGAGGCCTTCTACAAGACAGTAGCCGGTTGTGTTAAGCATCTGCCCAAGATGAGTATTTTTATCAAGAATTTTTCAGGGTTAACTAAAGCCACCATGTTTTTCTTTTTTATTTAAGAAATACGTATTTCTGTACTCTTATAAAAATATATATATGACCACAGACTTAAGTTTTACAATATTTAATTAACCTAAAAAAAAAGGGTCAAAAAAAAAAAAAATCAAAAAAAAAAAAAAAAAAAAGGGTCAGACCCTTTTTATTGAGCAGAAGTTTAGATTTAAAAATTGGCTTTATTTATCTTCATCTAGAGTAACTGAAAAATGAATACAAATCATTCATTTGTAGAGACTTACTACAGCCAAAAATTAATCTTCTATATATTTTTTTATAATTATTTAACCACAATGGTTAATTCAACATAGTGTTTTTTAAAATATATCTATTCACACCAATATATATATATATATATATATATAAAATTTTTAAAACCAGTTCCTTTATTTTAGTGTTCCTAAAACATAAAAGCATCTCTAAAAAAATATGGTATTAAAAAAAACATGAGAAAATTAATTTTATATTAAAAAAACAATTTTTATGCTTTTATATCTATTTTATTAAAAACAGATAAAAAAACTATTATTTTAAATAAATTTTGAAATAATAGTTTTTATATCTATTTTTGTAATTTTAATTCACTATTACATTTAAAGTAATTGAACAATTTTTAACAATTTTAAAATAATATATTTATATTAATTTTTATTACCCTTTAAAAATTTTATATAAACTTACTTTTTTACCATGGGTTTTTAAATTATTTGAATTATAAAAATTTGTCTTTACAAAAAAATTTAATTTTTTATTGAAAATTTGAAAAAAGCTGTTTGAAAAGCATGATAATTATTAGTACAAAAAAGAAAAGGGAATCTTATTTTTAAAAATTATAATTCATTAAAATGTTTATCTAACACATTTACAGAAAAAATGTAATTATAATTAATATTTGGCTTGGTTTCAGCGTTTACTGTTTTATTAGTGACCCTGCTTTTTTATTTGACTAAGTTATTAAGTGGCAAAAGACCTTGTCAATTCTATTAAGGTAACTGTAGCTTTTGGACATCTGTTACAATTTGACAAAATTTTAATGTAATGTCAATTTTTAGAATGGGATATATTTCCTCAAAGGAGAGACTCTATTGGGGCATTTTAAAATTTTATTTTGTAAGTATTTAAAAAATTTTATCTTTTTTTTTTTTTTTTTTGCAATATCATCATGCAAAATAATTCTTAAGTTAAAATTTGTTTATCATACCAAAAAACATAGATAGCGTCCTTAAGAGAGAACCTAAACAGTTGAACAGTTATCAAATAATGTCAGTTCAGTTGATAATCAATCATCATTACACATCAAATCATAGCTAAAGCTCAAAACATTTTTAAAATGTTCATTTGAAAAATACTGATTTGAAAACCAAAAAATAGTAAAAAGCCATTCATTTCGAACTCAATAACTTGCAAAGTTATTCAGTTTAATTGATTTTATTCGTTCATTCAAAGGCATTCAGTCAATTGATTTTATTGACTGAAAAACAAAGAGAGAATCTCTTTGTCTTTCAGTCCCTGTGACTAGAAATGTTTAATGAATTAATAAAATTAATTATGGTATTTTACAAAGAGAAAAGAAAAACATACATTTTTTGTAAAATTATTGTAAAGATATTGTAAAAGTGGCATATAAATTTATATTAATAAATTTATATGCCACTTACAAATACAAATTTATACAAATGTTGCTGTCAGAGGCGCATTTGCTGTAAGGCAAATCTAGACAAATGCCTAGGGGTGCCAACCATAAAGGGAGGCTTGCTTTTTTTATTTTCTTTGAAAAGTTGAAAGTTTTTAGTGAAGTTTTGTAATTATCTTAAAATCTTATTATGAATTTTTGGGCGATGATTATTCATGTCTAAAGGTATTGACAGTTTAACAATGTCACAAATGCGGATCTGGTTGTTGTCAACAAGATGCATTTTATAAAAGAAATATCTACCACTAATAACTTACCTTTACGACCCCAAAATTTGACATCAACAGGATTAATTAAATAACTAGCATCAAACTTTAACATTTGTGTTTTAATAAAACTATTTACGACAATGATACTGTTATCTCCACTTACTTTTTCAAACTAAAATAATAAAAATGACATTGATTTAATTAATATATTTTCTTACACAAATGTGTAAGACAGATAAACTTACAATAGTTATATTTTTATTATTATTTTTTCTATATTTTTAGAATAAATTAAATTTTTCTTTTATTTTCTTTAATACAAATTTACTCCCAACAAGACAACCACTATTTATATTACTAAAATTCACTCCCAACAAGACAACCACTATTTATATTACTAAAATTCACTCCCAACAAGACAACCACTATTTATATTACTAAAATTCACTCCCAACAAGACAACCACTATTTATATTACTAAAATTTACTCCCAACAAGACAACCACTATTTATATTACTAAAATTCACTCCCAACAAGACAACCACTATTTATATGACTAAAGTTCACTCCCAACAAGACAACCACTATTTATATTACTAAAGTTCACTCCCAACAAGACAACCACTATTTATATTACTAAAATGATTTATCAAACTAAAACTATAATCACAAGAAAAAAATAAACCAAAAAAATATTAATAGACAATAAAAGACAACTTTACATATGTATACTAAATAGCCATTTATTAACAAAGCAACATTAATAAAATAACATTAAGAATTCAAATGCAAAAAAACTTTTTTTAACAATTTTTTATGTGGTATTGTTAGTGACATTGCAATATATATAATTGTTTAAAAAACCGAAAAACTCATTTCAATTTGTTAATTAATAATTATTAGTATTGATTAAATAAGTTACAGTTGTGAGCAACATAAGATTGAAACATACAGAGGATGTGTACAAAATGTGTAGTGGAAAGAGATCAAAAAGTAAAAATTCTTTGTAAAGCTAAAGCATTATAAACAATTATGTATTTGTTATATATTTAGCTATTTAAAGTTAAACCATAGACATAGTTGCTAAAAAAAACATTTTAAGTACACAAACAAAAAAGAAAAATATGTCAATCTTAAGCATGATGCTACCAATTTTGATTCACCTCATATTTAGAAACTTAGCTGTTCAACATAATGCCACCAATTTTATATTTAGAATTAAAAAACCATGTGGGTTTTTTGTAATAAAGTTTAACTGAACAGCTTAAATAATAACACTATTGTAAACAAAATATAGTACATAACTATATATTTAAACATAAAACTACATATTTAAACATAACTATGTATTTAATTTTACCACCTTTTATTGTCTAAAAGTTAGAGTTTGTTTTGACGTGTAAATTTTAATAAAATTGGACCTACATATAGATCTGGATCAAATCACTATATCTTTATATATATAGAGTCTTTATTATTTTAAGAATATATATTCCAAATTAAAATGAGACAGCCGAGTTCTAAATTAGTATCACAGATAGCAAGTAGGTCTAATGAAATTTGAAGAAGGTAGAAAAAATTACATCTAATTACATTGTCAGCAAAACAAAGTTTATAATAAATTATAACTAGTGGGTGGACATTTAATATTTTTTATTCTTACAATTATCTTAATCAATTTCATTTATCTAAAACTATGATATGAGTGAACTGCTTTCTGCATAAGCCTGAAATATGAGTTATGTAATAATAAACATATGCTGAAGAAACTTGTTCCAGTAAAATATTGCAGTAACTTATTCAAGTAATTTGTTGCAATAATGTGTTCTCGTAATTTAAAAGACTGTTCGGAATGATGATAACTCATAAGATTTTTGATATTTTACAAAAACTAGTCACACCCTCATAGTAAGCTTAAAAACAATTTTAATAATTTTTTTGCAGCTTTTAGAAAACATCAGATTTAGCTGATCACATATCAACATAGTGAAAAAACCTTGTATAAGCTTTTGGGTGGTTTTTGTAAAGCTTTGTGATGCAACATCTTAAATTTAACACAATTATTAGATGCCTGCTGCAATTTTTCACTTCTTATGCAGCTCACGTTCATATTTGCCCAAAAGAAAAAAATTCTAGCTTGAAAGCATTAAACTTTTATGTTTGCAAGGGGTTCAATCACCCATTATAAAGCATTTTTGATTTTCTTGAAGGCTTTATTGCTATAGTTTTTAACCACATATTTGACCATGGTTGAAGTGCTGTAAGAATTTTTTAAGAAATTTCTGCTTCTTGCATGTTTTGTAACCATAAACCTTTTGACTTCTTGGGTTGTTAACTTGGTAGCAGTTTTATTTCCCATATTCCATACAGAATACTCTAGATTATATATTAACTCTAGAGTTAGATTGATCCCTCTAATTACTTTTTGATCCAGTTTTAAACTTGAATCAAAAACAGATTAGAGGGATCGATGCTTATGTTTTTTACCTGTCTACAACCTCACTTCACAACTTGATTATACAATTGACAATTTTCTATTGAATTTTAGATATTTTTGCTAACAAATTATACAGAACATAACAACTTTTATGTCACTTGTCAAAACTCATCAAAAATAAATTTTCTCCTGCCTACTTATTTTTACTTTGTTTACAATTAATTACCATTATATTGTTTGAAAGAGAGATAAATTTACTTTAAAACAACTTTAAAAATAAAGCTGTGTTAGATTGCTATCAGTCAAAGATGATAAACATTGGATATTTTTAACTCGAATCATAGATTTGAGCCAAGATCGCTAGTGACTATTTGGAAATGACTATGGAATTCATTTTTCTATCATTTATTGAGGGTACAGTTCTAAAACTCAGTTTAATGGTTCTGAAGTTGGCTGGTAGTAATGTTTCATTAAGAGCTCTCAAAAACTAGTTCAATCAATAGCTATGGAATATCAGAGTATTAAAAGTACCATGTTGTGCATTAATATTTTCTCAGTTAGTGTTTTTGGTTTCTAACTTTTGTGCCAATTTTTAAAACTGCAACAAAATATTCTATTGCTTAGGTTAACATGTATCTATAATTGAGTCAAGCACTATCTAGAATTGAGTAAAGTCTCTAATAATTTTATAACTTTAATATTTTAAAATATTAAAAATAAAAAATCATTCTTACTGCCAAACTGTTTCAAACTTTTAACTTAAAATTTAAATTAAAATTTGTTGACTTCATAAAAACTTTTACCTGTTGAATCATACCTATTGCAAAACGCTTTTATTTCTTGCTTTCATTTAGCATCTCTTAACGCATTCATTTTTCTTTATGTATTTTATTGCTACCCACTCTTCCTTGGTTTCCAAGGCTTTTATCTTTATTTATCAGACTATATTGTTGTTAAAATTGAATTGTTAAACTTGAATGCTTATCACACTGAATGGTTGACTGGGACAAAAGCTGACTGGGTCACCATTTTTCTAATTTTCTTCATGATAATTCTTGAACTGATGTCTATACTAGAAATTAGTATTAAGTTCATTTTTGATGAGGGTTTAGGCTAAGTCAGCAATTTTTTCTTTCATTATTTTTTGTTTTTTTCTTCTTTTATCTATAGTTATTTATTACAATACTTTAGAGAATTATTGTTGAAAAAGCTGAATATCATGGTTAACAAGTGTGTTGCAAACAGTTTTACAAGTGTTGACAGTTTTACTGAGTTGATAATTTTGTTATGTTTAACTTCAATTGAATTTTTTTTAGGTAGCTTTTCTGATTAAATACAATAAAACAAGTTATATAACAGTGAAAAGAGTCCAGTTAGGTTAACACTTTAATATTGGTAATTTGCTAATAATAATAAAATAGCAATAATAGCAATAATATTAATAATAATAATAATAGCAATAATAATAATAACAATAATAATAATAATAATAATAATAATAATAATAATAATAATAATAATAATATATATATATATATATATATATATATATATATATATATATATATATATATATATATATATATATATATATATATATATATTAAACTTTTAGCTATTTTGTGTGAAAGCTGTTAGTCTAAAGAATAAAATTAGCTAAAAAGTTTTGAGTCAGGCTGAATAAGAGTGAACTTATTACTAAAAATGCCACTTAATGTACGTTACATGGAAAACTAGGTAAAAAAATTGTTTCAACTTTTAGGTCAGATTTCTGTGAATCAGTAAAGCGGTTTGTATTAGTAATTTTCACAAGATGTTAAGAATTCTATGCCAATTTAAAAAATATATAAAATTTTATCATATGTGACCGGGTAAAGAAGAAAAACTGTTTTTTTTGATACAATGTATTTGTTACATCACTTACGTTACCTTGTGATTATTATCGTGGAATTTTACTTCTATTATTTCGAGTTTGAGTTATGTAACAAAACAATTTCAAAGATATTGAACTCATTAAAAATAACTAACAAAGGAAACTTTAAAAAACTGGTGGTACTCTTCCTGAGTAATTTTTTATAGCATTTTTAAAACTTATCAAATCGAAAACAGTTTTTCCGCAAGACCAAGAGCAAATTTAAAAAATTATTTTAGTATTACAACTTTTTAATACTAATTTGAGTAGTTTAAATATGAAAATCTTTGGTTTGTCGAAGTTTTTACTTACACTCCTTACGTTTATGCGTATTGTCTTGTTTTCATTAGGTTGAGTTTTTAAAATGCTGTAAAATATTTACATTTAAATCTTTTGAAATATTTTTGAAGAAAAAACTGCTATCACAGTTTAAAAAGGAGAGGGATTCAGGTATATGTGATCGTTTGTGACATAAGGGAAGGATTTTAAAAATTGATAAATATAGGGTGACATGCTTTATGGATGACTCATAAAAGCATTTACAAACGATTTGTTTTACTAGAAAAAAGATAAATTTTTTTGCTATTCTCCTAATATAAAATTTTTTTTATATTAGGAAAATAGCAAATTAATTTTTTTTTTCCTATTGTCTAAATACAAATATTTAAATAATTCTTATTTTTATTTATTTATGTGTATTGTCAAAAAATTTATTTATGTGTATATGTCAAAAAAAGGAAAAAACATAAACAAATAAAAAAGCAATAATATAAATAATTTTAATTAACATTAAAAAAAATAGAATATTTTTTTCTAAATTCTCCTAGTATAAAAAGTTCCAGTTAAAACCTTGTCAATAAAATAATAATTACTTAATGACGTAATTCATTTTGTTAACGAAAAGCGCCAGAACTTAAGAAAATGTTTGTAGTTTTAACTTATGCTACGCAAATTTAAAATAAAATTGTGCTTTAACTAAGCATTGTTATTCAAAACTTTAAATGCAAAAATGTAACATTTAATATTCTTTTGCATATATTATTAAAAAATTTAAGTTTTTTAACTAAATTTTATAACAAACGAAACTTTATCATGCTTTTGTTAACTTACGTTACATGAAAATTTCAAAAGCTCATTCGTTATTTTCTTAGAATATATATATATATATATATTTTCTTGAAATATATATATTTTATAAAGTATAAAATCTGATCAACAACAATTTGAACATGTTAGCTCCATTTTAACGCTAATTTAATTCTGATTATGCAAATAAATTCATGGTTATAATAACATTTTACAATGATACCTTTTTTATCATGCCACAATGAGAAAAACCGTAACTTTCGGAAGCATAAAAATGACTTAAATAAATTAATTTTAGTACTAAAGGTATATTTTAAATAAACTTTCATATGTCTACATCAATATTCATTTGCTAAAAGAAAAAGAAAACAAAATTTGACTACTTTTTCATTTTGTGCTGTGGAATTGCCCATATATATGCTTTTTTCCATTATTATAAAATGCACCTCCCCATAGCTCCAGAGGGAATCACTTGACTAAATCGGACACTAAAATGTTATTTGTTTTTATTTATGATTTTTTTAAATTTCTTTTAAAAAGTTTTAAATTTATTTGCAACTCACTCTCAACCCTATACTCCAAAACACAAACCATGTTACATGAACGCAAAACACAAACCTTGGTACTTGAACACAAACTTTGTTACACAAACTCCTTTAAACACTGTGCAGAAAGAAACTAACACAAATTTAAAAAAAAAAATACCTTTAATACTATTATCATGGAAATTAAATATTATTAAAAAAATGTACTATGTTCTTAGCGTGAATTTTATAAAAAAATAACATTATTTTATTCATAATGATTAAAAATTAGAAAAGTAAAATATTTTTATTGATCTAAAAAATTACCTCAGCAAAAAAGTGATATCCACTGAAATCATAAGAAAAAAGTGCATAGGTTTCTTTTATTGACTCTTTATTTTGAAACTGTATTTTAGTAATATAATAACTGTCATCAAGTCTATATACAATGGAGTTTACTGTTGTCACATGCGATGATAAATCTGCATTTCCAATTACTACATTATAAAAATAGTTTTGAAAAAATTAACCTAATAAAACTGTAATAAAAGTTTTATACTATTGGATTTACTTAAAATACATAAAAAGACACTACACACTAGAAAAAATTAAAATCTGTCAAAAATATTTGGAAAAGCGAAAATTTCAAAAGTTTGTTTTAAAAAAATAATTTTATTAGAAACTACTTGTTGAAAAGAATAAAAAATTTCAAATAAAAATGTATAATCTTCTGTATGAGTGACACCATCCTTACTAATCATTAACTTATTATAATAAGAAATAACATATTATTTTACTTATTATTTTTATAGTAATTATTATTTATAATTTTTTTATTTTTATTACTATTATAATTGTTATAAATTATTACTATTGCTTAATATTTCATAATTATTATTGTTATTATTATTTACCTTATTATTGTAAAAATGATATTAAAATGGAAAATAAATAGCTTGTTGTTGTTATTGTTGTTGTTGTTGTTGTTATTGGTATGATTAAATTTATGTAGTCAATAAACTAATAACTTTTATAAACTAATAACGAGCAACAAATCTTTTATAGTAAATAATATTGTCATTTAAAGTTAGAATATCATCAAATGAAATAAAAATCTTTTTATTTTTAATTTCATTAAAAGTATTGATTAAAAAATTTATTGTCACTGTTGTCTACAAATATAAACAGAAAAATACAGACTGCTACTTCACAATAACTTTTGACTTTAATGGTCATCACACTGAATGTCTACAATCATTAAACTGAATAAACAACTGCGCTTGCTGACTCTGATGCCCAAAATTATTTTTTTTCTAAATCTCTTATTCAGATACTTAATTTTGTGTTTCCACCTGGATACCAGCTTGTTCTTGTTTTCTCCTTGAACTCTTTTAGGTAGTAAAAATCATGCCGTGATTTCAATAAACCCTTTTTCTACATCAGATTCATCTATTTCACTTCTTACTACTAGCTTAAGACTGAATGAGATTCCTTTCAGAATCTTTTTTGCAATGGTTTATGGTCTAGTTCCTTTTGACTCTTTGTTGAAAACTCTACACCTTTATAATCTTCAGGATTCAGGCAGACACAGATACTTTTAATTCTTCTTGCCAATTTCAAGCTAAGTGCCACTTATTCTTACGGTTTTCTCCTTCTTCTTTTTTCTTTTTTGCAACTGCTATTTCTTAAAAGAATCAATTTTTTTTTTCTTCATTTTTTTGACAAAAACAACATTATGGCAAGAAAAACAAGGGCTTTTTTTCAGATTCATTACTAAATATACCTTTTTTTACAAACTAGATTCTAGAAACTTTTTAAAAATTTTAAAAACATCATCAATGAAGGTCTACCATTCATTCCCTGAGAGGAAATAATATCAAATATATCTACATGGATCTGATACTATTACAACTATCGGATAAAACAGAACATTTTTTGATTTATCTCTTGAATTTATCAACCATCTCAAAAAAACAAACTAATCCATTAATCCATTATTAATTATCATTTTTCTGTTGCTTAACTTATCTTCTTGCATCCTCAAAATCTTCTACAGCTTGGCCACACCTTACAGTGGTTCAGACAACTTGTCACATTTAGGCTTTTAATTACTTGCTTAATTGTTTAACTGACTTCTTAACTAAATATTATTTTCCTTCCTGCTAATAGATGTCAACTGCACCTTCAGTTTTTAAAAACTCTTGCTGAGACCCCACTATTTCCCAATCTTCTCATTATCATTAGCTGTTTGAATACTTAATTAAAAAACATCAAATATTTTATTGTAAGCCTAACAAATCTCTCACAATTGATTCAAATTTTAATCTCCTTGTTCTAATCCTGACTTGACATTTTAACAAGGTCCTAATAGCTTTCTCTCTATTATTCGTATCTTTCAATTTACTCTAGATGGAAGTGATGAGACAAGAGCTAATGCTTCTGATATATCAAAGACTTTTGATAATGTCTGGTTTATGCCATATGCTTACATAATATGGTGTATCTGAGAAAGTTTAAACTGTAGCATTAAAGTTGTTTTTGATGGACAATGCTCTCCTTCATTTCCTGAAACCTCTAAGGCACCACAAAATTTTATATTTATTCTTTTATTAAATATTACCTCTAAAGTGCTTTTATTTAGTGACACAACTATGTATTCAAGTCAACTTTAAATTGCTTAGAACAAACAGCTATTTTTGAATTTAATATTTCTTTTATGACAGCATGGAGCCTCCATAGACTTGTGAAATTTAACAGAAAAAAAAAAAATTATTATATATAATAATAATTAATAATAATTACTAATAATTATTGCAATTTGATGACATTAATTTTCATTGGCAATCAATCGCGTTCTTGGATTATCAATTATTCTTGGATTATATTGCAGCTAACACTGCTAAGTATCTGCTAAGATTGTTTCTAATAATCATACTCACTAGTTTCTTAATGCTCCATTCTCTACCTCTACTAGAACTCTACCTCTACCTCTATAAAATTAACTCTATTCTCTACCTCTATAAAACTCTAATCTATCCTTGTGAAAAAAACCCTTTATTATATAAATAATAAAAATTTTGTAACAAAATAAATAAATATTAAAATATTTTATAAAGTTTAAATAAAAAACTAAAATATATCTAATTTTTACTGTATGGCTGTTAGTGATGTTATACAGATAATAGATAGTTTTAATTAATATCATCAGCATGACGTTGATAATTAACCTACAGGCAACATTGTATGTTAAAATGCAGTCAAATATTTTAAAATTACTATTCTATGTATTCTGTTTTTGTGTTGTTAAAAATTAATAAAATAATAAAAATATTTTATTTACCTTTTACTAAAACAAAATTAAAAAATTAAAGAAATAAAAAATGAGTAACCTTTTGTTCTATATGATATAACTAATTTAAATCCATTTCTATTGAAGTCAAAATTGTTACCATCTACTTGATTGTTAGGTATTATGACAATACCTATATGTTTTACCAATCCAAAATATTTATTTGAAACTATGTTATAGAGATTTAACAAATCAAGACTGTTATAGCTTTTTGCATTAGATCCATTAAACAGAAAGGTTATATTATCTTCATTTGAGAGATATAAAGCTGTATTTGTAAATAACTGGGTTGTGAAATAATACTCAAATGTTTCATGTTGAGACACTAACAAATAGGCTTGTGCTAAAAAGTCTTCGGGATTTGGTCCAGACCCTTGATATGATCCAATGAAAAACTGAAAACGTGAAACTGCTGCATTTGATGGCAGATTGACATTGTTAAATGAGAAGAAAGTTGTATAAGATTGTCCAAAATGTATTAGTTCAGGCTCAAAAATGTTATTGTTGCTGTCTATATAAAAAGCATTTGTTGGTCGAAAATTGAGTTCAACATCATGAGATGAAAATGGAACTAAAAAAAATAAAACTATTGAAAATAATTTAAACTATATTGAAAATTAAAAAAAAAATTTACAAACTTTTAAATTTAAAAAATAAAGAGCTAAAATTGGGGTTTATAACTTTAATTTAGATGTACAAAAGAAATAAATTTAGATGTGGTACATCTGCATTTGTAGAGTGCTGGCTTTTTAAGAAAGATTTACCTCAATTACATCATCTTATTTTACTTATTTTACTAAGTAATATAAAAATTTAGCTTATGTTTTACAGAAAAATGTATATGGGCTGAATTTTTTTTTATATTATAATTTGGACATATTGTTTCATAGAATTGAAATAAAAAAAGGGGATTGCTAAAAAAAAATTAGATCAGGTTCAGGATCATACCAACTCCCCATGTTCTGTTTCATTGTAGGATTAGCTTTTCCAAGAAAAAGCTAAGAGAAGTTAAGTCTGATTTAAAATACCCCTGCTTTGGGTTGTCTAGTTAGTTTAAGGCTAGTGTTGGTGTCTCAATAAAAATACTCATTTTGGACTAATATTAACTGTATACAACTTTGTCTTCAACTACTGTCTCTATATATCCAACCCTGTCTTATCCAACTACTAACTAAGGCCTCTAAGGCAAAAACGGAAAGCAAAGAAATTTTGTTAAACAGCCTCAAACCCTTTCTCCAGGCTAGGTGGTAAACCATTATTACATTGTTTTCTGCCTAGAATAATTTATACGTACTATTAGAGTCAAGAAAATTGTCTTCTTGGCTCTACTACTAAGATTTTGCTCGTGCCTTCTTGTTAGTCGTTATGCAACTCCTGCTATCTCTTAATGAGGGTACGGAAACTTTCCATCAGTTGAATCTTAACTCTACTAAAATTCTTTTTCTTAGTCTTTGTTTTTTATCCCTTTTTTTTTAAGACTGTACTTTTTGATGTTATTTCTGATCAAATTGATGTAGCCCTTTCCATTTATCCCTCCATATTGTAGTTAAAGGTGACTTTAATAATCACCACAATAACTTGGTTATAGCACCAAGTTTGCTGGTTCTTAAGCCTAAAATTTTTTCTTTGTTATAAGGTAATAATGTTAATTATATTGTTGGAGATCAATAACAATTAACTGCATTCAAATTGCATGTAGCTATTTTTTATTGATCTCAAACAATAGATGTGGGACCCATGTAACCTTGTTGTCAAATTTTCCTAATTTTATGAAGACATCTTTGAACTATTGACCAAGAATTTTTGATATTTCCTGGATACTCAGTTTGAAATTTATTTCCACAAGTGTTTTTGAAATGTCATTATCAAACCCTACCAAGTATCACCTCAAACATACTTCAGGCAACAACTTTAATCGCAATCAGTCAAGTAAAATTGAAATCAATGGTGACAGTTATTTACTTATTTACTCCATACACATGACAATACGTCTCAATACACATCACATTAGGTCTCAATACACATCACAATACGTCTCCATACTCATTCCAATACGTCTCAATACACATAACAATAGGTCTCCATAAACATCACAACATGTCTCCATACACATCACATTACGTCTCCATCCACATCGCAATACGTCTCAATACACATCACAACACGCCTCCATACGCATTGTTTCCATACACATCACAAACTTTTTTTACTTCAATGATTAGATTAACACTTAATAGAAAGTAAACAGCATGTAATAAAATAAATATTCTTCAGTTAGTTAATTGTCTGCCATATTACAACAATGTAAAAAACTCAAAATCAAGTGTTAAAAATCACAAGACATGAATTGTAATTTGCATTTTGCATTTTGCATTTTTTATTTTGCATAATAAAAAATGCAAAATTGTTAGACCAGACATTCCTGTGCTGCATCCAGTACTTTATATATCTATGATGACATTACATATTATTTTCTAATTTTCAGCACAGACAAAATAAAAATATTTTAAGTATCAATGTTTTATCAAAAATTTTAACTCATCTTAAGATGACTTTATTCTTTAAAACATAGAATTGATATAATTAGAAAAAATAATTATTAAAACTATAAAAAAAAAAAAACTAGAGCTAAACTTAAAATATAATACAGGGTTATTCATTTTTAAATGGGCGTCTATTCATTTTTATATGTGTGATTATTCATTCTTATATGCGCCTTTATTCATTCTTATAACACCATTTATTCATTTTTATATAGATTAGATTAGAAAAATAATTATTCAAACTATAAAAAAAAAAAACTAGAACTATACTTAAAATATAATAAATTGGCTTTTGATTTAAACTAATACTTCTGTTAAACTCATTTTTCCAATCCACAAAGAAAAAACTATATAAAAACAGTAAAATTTACTAAACTTCTTATTATGCATTAATATTAAAAATATTTCTTAAAATAAAAATACCTAAAGTTATTTTTTGGTTATATTAGCACACTTGTAAAGTAAAAAAAATAATAACTCTAAATAACTCTAAAAACAAAAATATTGAAATTTTACAATACTAAATTCATATAAAATGTAAAGATAACATAAACAAACCCAGTTTCATTGATAATTTGAGTTTGCAGGTAAACAATGTAAGTAATACACTTATTACTTTTATAAAATACCTTTTACATTGAGCTGAACAGTAAATCCAGTATCACATAAATCTGGTTGAGTGTAGCAACTTGGTCCAAAATGATTGCTCATAAGTCTATTTAAAGAATTACTTTTCTGCATTTTAACTGAATCACCAAAAAGAATTTCAGTCCCAACTACACTTGTATATTGGACAAAATTATTTATTGCATTCATGTTTTCTATTGACCAAGAATAATCAGCTAAAATAAATTAATAAAAAATAAAACCATAATAAAATAACAAGTAGTAATGTAGTGCAGTAGCTTCAAAAATAAGATATGGCTATAAAGTTCAAACTTCTCTTTATAGCATTACACTTAACTTGTTTCTCGGTGCATAGGTTAGTCTTCACAATACCTTTTCAACAATTTTTAAAAATATAGGATTAAGAGGGACAAAATTAAGACAAAATAAAAGATTGTTCTATACTGTTATGACCCCTTCACATTAGAGATGTAAAAATAAAAATAAAAAATTTTGGTATTGATAATAATAACAAATTGGCTACGAAAAAGTTTAATTAACTAAAAATAAAAAATAGAGTTTTTAGAAAAATGAAAATTTTTCTAATGTAGAAACATTAAAACGTTAAAATTAAAATAATACATACATTAATAAATGCATAGAAATATATAATAATATTTTTCTTTTATTGTTTTTTTTTTTTTGAAATTCACTTCACCTAGGCAAAGAAAGTCACTACAGATGAGGAGGCTACTTGTGGTTATAACCCTCCCCTAACTCTATAACTCCGAAACACGAATCTTGATGAACAAGGCCACTGCGCGGAGAAACAAGTTGAGCCCGGTACTACCAGGGACGTGGTGGGAATTGAACTCGGAACCTCTCGCTTATGAAGCAAGTGCTCTACTACTACCGCATTTATAGTATTATTTATAGTGTACCTATGCATGTGTTTCCTCCATATCTATACAATAATGTTTGCGATTGTAAAGAATTAAATAAAAATTTAACTTTAAACAATAATTAATGTTGACCTTAATAATTATTTAAAACTTAACAACATTAAAATTCTATTTTAAATAACACATTTGCTAAAACATAAAGCTTACCAGTAAGATAAGAAGTTCCTTTTACAGCAATAGTAACGTTGCTTTCACTAACTGTATTCCACTTTAGGCATGAAAGTTTAAGTGATGATGTTCGAAAAGGATATAAATATATTTCTGATGAAATTGAAAAAACCTGCATAAAAATATATTAAACAACTTTGAAGAACTTTAAAACAAAACAAAAGATATAAATTAAAAAAAGATATCAAAAATATTTATATGCATCAAAAATATTTATATTTATCAACAAAATATTTGAATGTATTGTATGTAGAATAGGAGAGTGCCACACATTAAATCAAATGTGTATATCTTTATTTTGTGCATTTTTATTTATATTTCATTTAATACAAATTTTTAGTTTTTACAGTTATTTTTTTATTTTTTTATTTGTTAACCTTTTTTTATAAACAGTTCATCATGCATTTGATAAATAAAAAATTTGATAAACAAAAAAGTTAATTACCACAATTAAAACCATGTTTAATTATAGTGATTTTATTTCTTAAAAACAAACAACTAATAAATTTGGTAGTCATCAATTCTTTGAGTCTAACATATTGAAAAAAAGCATAAATAAAATATAGCAAAAACATTTGCTAAAAAGTATAATCTTTTTTGTACTAAAAAGTAGAAAATAAACTTTTTAATTTAAATTTAATAGTTCCGTAAACTAAAGATTGACAGGTATATTTCTAAATAAACATTGCGCAGACCTGTCAATCTTTAGTTTACGGAACTATTAAATTTAAATTAAAAAGTTTATTTTCTACTTTTTAGTACAAAAAAGATTATACTTTTTAGCAAATGGTTTTGCTATATTTTATTTTCTACTTTTTAGTCTTAACAAAGAGTTACGATATTTTAGTATGAAACAAAATTTTTTTGTCAATAAAAGTAATTTTAAAAGATTTAAAAAAAAATACAAACCCACAAGCAATTTTAGCAAATTTTAAAAATGAAAAGTATTTATAATTTTTTTCCATAGCAGACGACGGCTGCCTCCCAATTAATTTTTAATGGTAAAATTTTTTATGTTCCACCTTCGATGGCATCCGCCTTTCTTTTGATGGCCACAGTCAGATATTTTTTTTGGAGGCAAAATGTTTTCATGCTGACGCCAATAGAGAGAGGCGGAAGCCAATGGTGGTCGCCTCCAGTAAAAATTTGCACATTTGCCTTTAAGTTAACGAGCAATCAAATTATTAACTGAGAACAAATGTTAAATATTTGACATCAAAGTTTTATTTTGTATGATTTATTGACTATTTTAAAAAAAAAAAAATTTTTCATTATTATTTTGTCAGAGTGGTCTAGGACTATCGAATAAATTTTTAACTTTTAAACGTTTGAAACTTTTAATCGCTCAACTTTTAAACGTATAAAAGTAGATGAGTCTATATTTTTAAACGTTTTAAAATTATAGAGTAAAAATGAATAATATTTTTAAAAGTATAAATTTTTTTTTTTGGTTGTAATTTGGCAAAACTATTAGCGTAATACAGCAAAGTTGCAAACTTTTTATAAACATTCACAGTTATTTTTTCAATAACTTTTACAATACTCAATTATTAAAAATAAGTATTTAACATTAGTATTTAATTTTAGCATTTAAATAAGTATTTAACATATGTAATTTTAGCATGTCGACTTGTTCTAAAAAACTTTTACCAAAATCAGTCAATTTTTTTTTTCAGTCAAAAAGATTTATTCGCCAATGGCATAGAAGTAAAATTTCCAACTTTTAACTTTTTTTTTTTTTTTTTTTTAAATAAGAACTTTTTTAAATACTGCACATAATCATATAAAATAAAATTTGATGTCAAATATTTAACATTTGTATCTAGTTAATATTTAATTTCATTAAAGCAAACAAGCAACTATTTTTCATTACATCCGCCGGCGGGAGGCAAACATTCCAGACTCCAATTTGGCGGCTGCAGCCAGTTAGGAGACAGAAGCCATTAAAAGTGGTTTCCAAATGATTCTGTTTCCACAATTTTTTTGGGGGGCAGCAACCAATGCTTCCACCTACCTAACGGCGTCGACCTCCAAAATATTTTGCCTTTAAAAAATAACTCTGGCTGCGGCCACCAATAGAAGAGTAGAAGCTACTGAAGGCGGAAGAAAGAACATTTTGCAGCTAAAAATTGAACAAGAGGCCGCCGTTTACAACTCCCGCCTCCCTAAAAAATTGGCCTTTTGGCAGAAAGTTACTTTGCCGTCTGGCGGCATTATCAACTCAATTTTAATAAAAAGAAAAATTAAAAAAAAAAGAAAAGAAAAACGAACCCACAAGCAATATCAGTCTATTTTAAATATAAAAAGATTTGTCATACATATTACTACTTGTAAGTAAAAGACTAACCAGTAAGCAGTTTAGAAGCAAATCTTTATATAAAAGGTTACTTTTTATGTTTCCTTTGGACGACAAAGAAAGTTAAGGAAGAGCGCATGTTAAGTGAAAGAAAAGATTATAAAAATAAGATCTAGACAGAAACATTCAAGGAAAAACTGAGATTTATTTATTATTATTAATAGTTAATTACTTTTCTTTGAATGAAAAAAAATTTCAGTTTCAACATTCAATATTTCATAGATTAAAAAATGTATCAACAGTTAAGAGAATTCATGTTGTTTGCATTTTAGGCTGCTAATAAAAAAGGTTTTTTTTTTCAAATTTTTTTTTTTTTTTAATTTAATATTTTTTGTGTTACTAAAAAGCATAAAATTGTTATTAAATTTTAAAACTTCATTTTTTTATTGCATAATTTAAAAAAAAAACTATGTATTATCTATCAAATAAGCAATTGCAAAACTATTTTGCACTATATCAAATAAATTGATTTCTAATCTTGCTCAAATATCTTGCTCAATATGTACATTATCAATATATTTTACCTATTGTCAGCAGATGTCAGCTGTGTCTCTATACATGATTTTTACAAGTTTCATCTTGGGGGCAGGGGGGCTAACATTCTGGCTTATTTGTGTTCATCGCAATTTTTTAGCAAAACATCTTTTTTATTTACATTAAAATGAACATATATATATATATATATATATATATATATATATATATATATATATATATACTCTTGAAATTTTTCTTAATATATATGTATATATATATATATATATATGTATATATATATATATATATATATATATATATATATATATATATATATATATATATATATATATATATATATATATATATATATATATATATATATATATATATGCATAAGCCTAATATAATCTACAAATACCTGACTCAGTTATTGTGAACAAACTTATTGATGCTACGAATTTGGATTGCAACAAGCAGTAATTAGTAACTATAATAACGCATCTACGAGATAAGTGGAACAAGTCATATAGCAACATGGCTCGATTTGAAGAAAAGAATATAAAATGGCTGCATAGCCATGTTCCTGAAGATTTGTTACACCAATACATATTGTAAGACCAATTAAGGCAAACTTTGATGACTATTCTACTAAAACCAAAAAACATAAAGTAAATCACTTAACTGAAATGTATTCTGGTTCTGCGTTACAATTTGCTTCAGAAATTAAACGGAAAAAAGAAAATCCAATTGAAAAAACCTCAAAAAAAAGATTGTAAAAAAAATCCAAAAAGAAAATCCAATTGAAAAAAAAATAGACTACTGTGTACATTTGATCCATTCAAGTCACACCAAAACGAAAAATTTACCAGCTGGAGTTATTGACTTATTAAGGTCATCCACAGATGATATTAGTTTATAAATGTGTCTTTTGTATCTTCATAATTTAAATTAAAATAACAGTTATGCTCAATCATATTAGAATCATCAAATTAATTTGCATACCAAGTTTAGAAACATTTGGCTAAAAATAACCCTTTAGAACTAAGCATAAATATGTGCTGCTATGCAACTGGGGTTGCCATGGATACCACAAAAAAATCATGCTTATTTAAATTATAATCATCCAATTACTTTATATACCAAACTTATTTAGAGACCTATGGATGAAAGGAACAAAAGTTATGACTTTTTTCTGGCCCACTGTTCATAGCTTTGTCAATTTAATGTATTATATTTATATATAACTTGTAACAATTGTGATCTTTTATTAATTTAATAATAATAACAATAATAATAACAATGAAAGCAATAATAGCAATAATAATAATAATAACAAAAATTGCAATAACTAATCCTATAAAAAAAACAATTAAAAATAAATATCCATTAATAAAAAAAAATAAAAAAAAAAACTGCTATAAAATTCTTTAATCAAAAACCTTGTGGTTCTCAAAATCTAGGGGGTGATGGTTTATGTTTTGTGACAACTCATCATGAATTATTACTAAAGAATTACAAAATTGCGACAAGAGGAGGGTAGTATTCATTATAAAATTGAAAATATCATATAAAACAAGAATAATAGGAATTTTTGGTTCATGCAATGCAGTTGATAAATGCCTTTGGAATATAGATAAAAAAAGATTTTTCTGCATCTGCACAGGATGAAGCGTCAGTAAAAATTTAAATGTTATTGGTCTACATCTTGTAGTATGACACAATTTATAAGCAAAAAATATGGTACTGAAGACTTAAGCAGAACCTGTGAAGACACTAATTTTGAAGTAGCCATTGCAAAATAGCCAGTGCAAAAAGTTCATTGATGGGGAGAGGGGGGGTGACAACCTCCATCAATGAACTTTTTGTTCATTTAGTTTGCATTTGACCCTTTTAAACAAGTTAGTTGGCTAGTCATTAAATTTTAAAAACTTTTTTTGTTTTTTTGACAGCCGGCTAAAATTGCAACAAAAGCAATAAAAATAGAAAAGTGCAATGCTCCCCCCCTTGAATAAAATCATATACATGGTTTTCATGATCAATTTCAAAAAAATTTTATCTAGGTTTATCTTCTTTCATTAAACCAAGAGGAACTGGTCTCTAGATAATAATCTCACCCTTGATTGCTATTATTAAATAATTGCACAGTAAAGTGTTACATATTTCAAAATATCAATTTACTGACTTAAATTATAATCATAATGTGAAAAATAAATACACTATCTGATTTCAAATTCTTAAGTCTGTACAAAAACTAAACTGAAACAGACATCATGAGC